ATCCTCTGGAAGAAGGATTTTGTTTTTGCAAAGTAAAGATTATTTTCTTCAAACCTTTTTTGTCTCTGGGTTTTGCATTTGAGTCCTCATACTATTGAGTCAAGATTCCTAAAAAAAACATAAGCATTTTATTTTATTTGAATTCAAACCTTGAAATTAAGATTATATGTATTTATATATATTTCTCTGTTATCCATGTTCATAGACACCCGCATGAAACAACATGATAAGAAAATTGTTGTTTTACCACGCCAGACGCATGCAGACGATTAATTCTGCAAGCGTATCTGAATGACGTCGCCCAGATGATGATGAAATCTACATCTTTCCTTAACCCCATGACTTTGTGTTAGCAGGAAGAAATTAATCATCACGTTGTTTTAAAATGGAATGCACGCCCTCCTGCCAGCACTGTTCTGAGGCTAAAAATGTATTTTTTGTGTTTTGACAGTGAAGGGATATTGTAGTTTGGTCTCCGAGGGGCCACACATTGTGTGAGCTGGTGATAAAGGCAGCAGGTGTTTTCTGCTATTGACACACACACACACACACACACACACACACACACAACTTGTTATATAATTGCACAATTTCTGCATTTTCCCACTTGCCGAATACTTGACAAGTCTAATCCTATTGTCTACTTCCTGAGTGAAGAACAAGGACATTGCAACCTACATTTTGGTGTCTTTGGGATCTTGGCTCCCTCCCATCACTGACATTACCTTCTGTTTCTGTTCTCAAAAGCCTGCATGCAGGAGGATGGGCTGTTTCTTCTTTAGAGAGGGAGAGGGGGACAGAGAGAGAGAGAGGGAGAGACATGCCCCCAAATATTTTAAGAAGCTCTTAGCAAATTGTAAAAGCCTTTTCCTTTCTTCTTAGACCTTCCAGAAAAACGCGGGCAAAAATCCTTGATTATGCGNACACACACACACACACACACACACACACACACACACACACACACACACACCAAGTGGGAAAATGCAGAAATTGTGCAATTATATAACAAGTTGTGTGTGTGTGTGTGTGTGTGTGTGTGTGTGTGTGTGTGTGTGTGTGTGTGTGTGTGTGTGTGTATGTATGTATGTATGTGTGTGTGCAGAATCAAACAGCACTGCTACAGGCCAAAAACAACCTCATAAAGTCCCTGTTTGTGTTTTAAAAATATCACAAGCAACCTGTTTTCTGTTTCGTACAGAGTCCCTTTCCGTCCTCATTTTAAGGTTTGAATAAGCGTCAGAAGTTCTATTTTTAGAGGAGCTCATTTAACTGAATCATATGGAGAACAATCTATTGACACGCTCTAACTGAAGGGTGCGTGGGTGGCATTTCCACTTAAAAGACGGAGTGTGAATTGTAATGAAGTGAAAACGAAATGGATGGGAGGGGGCAGACTCCATGGCTAGGAGCAATGGGTGTGCGAACAGCGAGCTCACAAAGCGAGGAGTGATTCATTTAAAGGGATTTTGTGTACGCTCCAGATTTAGGCACTCATCATAAACATATAAAGGATAAATAAAGAATGCCCAGGAGAGAGAGATGGGAATATTGAAATAATTTAGGAAAGAGAACAAAGTTGACAAAGTGATAGGAAAGTGGAGAGGAAATGTTGAGGAGAAGATAGCTTTTAGAGATATACATCAGAGAGAGATAGCTGAATGACAGATAAAGAAACGCTGTGAGACTTAAAGAGAGGGAGGCATGGCAGATGGTAGGACCACATCATTGGATTACAGGGGCAGAACATTAAAAGTATTTTCTTTGTATCCACCTCCAAAAAGGATCCAGTGATCCATAATGTTCCCGCTCTGAGGAGTCTGATAAAGCTGCGACAGCAAGACTTAACAGATGGCCTTAACAGAATATAAACAGCAAGTGTGTGCATGGGTACAAATGAAACATGTCTGTATGAGCCTGTTGCATAATCATCTATACGTTGGCATGAAGAACACACTGCTGGGGTTGTGCTGATCAAATGATATGCACAGGCACACGGGTAATGGTTGCTTATGACTCATGATTCATATTGTAATCAGCTGCCCTGCATTCATACTTATTGGCAAAGACATAACAGTATCTGGTGTGTGTGTGTGTGTGTGTGTGTGTGTGTGTGTGTGTGTGTGTGTGTGTGTGTGTGTGTGTGTGTGTGTGTGTGTGTGTGTGTGTGTGTGTGTGTGTGTGTCATCAGTAGCACAGCTTGAGACTGGGTGTTTCTCAATGTCAAGGAAGGATCCTTCAGAGCCACTATTTCAAGGATGCTACGTCATCGAATCCCGCCGAAGGGACTGTTCCAATGTACGGGATCCTTGGAATTCTACCGAGGACTGAGTCCTTCGTTGCGGGAAATTTCGAGGATGCACATGTGTATCCTCGTCAGTCTTAAAAGCCCCACAATGCTTTGCGCACGGACCAATTTCCCAAATCTTTGGCGGAAAATGGCTGAATCCAGGCAGTACACATTTAAATGTAAGTATGTTCAGAGGCGTAGTAAATGTGCACATGACTTGTGTTTAAAGTGTATTGTCCGTTTGCGTTTTGCCCGTGAAAAATTAAACAATTTAGCAAACTGTCTGGTGCACACCAGAGTTTGAATGAGACCTTAGAGCAGGGGTGCCCACACTTTTTTGGCTGGTGAGCTACTTTTGAAATGACCAGCTCACCGAAGTCTACCAACCAAAAATAAAATCCCAAATTGCAAGGGTTGCTGAATAACACGTTTTATTTATACATGGGATAACTACAATAGGGCTGCAACAAACGACTAATTTGATAATCGATTAATCTATCGATTAATGGACTATTCGGACTATTATGCCTTGCACAATTTCTCAAACGCTCTTATTTAGCCATCAACTTTTAGATTTNGAATCTGTTCTGGTGTGTAGAATTGATTACAGACCATTGTTTTTGTTTCCAGGTTTATGCCTTTTTCCTGGATTAGGGCAAATGTATGTATGCAGCCTTCCCAGAGTCACCTTCCCTGTGTCCCTGCCCGATTGCTTTTTTTCCCTCAGAAGCGGACAGAGGAATGTGTGGAATTCCCCATGCACCTTCGCTCCCATCTGATAAACACTGCGGGACTGTGGCAGGGCCTTGGGTGGGTGGGGGGGCGTGCATAAGCAGGACTGTACTTGTACCCACTGCCACAAGAATGTGTACATATCCACATAGCTTGAGTTGTTTGTTGAGCGTAATGAAGACTATACCACAGTGTGACCGCAGATGGTTCCCCTGACAGAGTGAGCCACTGTGCTATTGTTTGACAGACGTCTCATGAATCCATCTTGTATTATTAGTATCCAATCATATCCTTTTTTGATGACTGTTTTATTCCTCCACACCTTGTACACAAGGAACTATTGATTCAGGATGCTGTTGGAGCAGAATTGGACTTTGTCCATTGTGGCTCCTACCCCCCTGTCTGAAATGGAAAAGATTAGCCTGTGACTTGGCTTACCGTGCTCGTTTGCATTCTTAATGATTCTAACTCTGCCTGGACCAAACGTATCCAGGACTGACTAAGACTTGTAGTCCGTCCTCATGTCATGCGCAATGCTGCCCTCCTCAGGGGAAACGATGGAGGCAAGACAATTTCAGGAGCAACTTCAACCTTTATCCTTCTATGTCCTGCATTCATTAGTGTGTGTGTGTGTGTGTGTGTGTGTGTGTGTGTGTGTGTGTTGTGTGTGTGTGTGTGTGTGTGTGTGTGTGTGTGTGTGTGTGTGTGTGTGTGTGTGTGTGTGTGTGTGTGTGTGTGTGTGTGTGTGTGTGTGTGTGTGTGTGTGTGTGTTGCTTAGTCAAAAACTAAAAAAGGATGTGAGCTGTAAATTTGGGATTTAGAAATATTTCTTCCTGATGCTAAATTTAAAAGTGTGGCTGGCAGTTCTTCTCTAACGCGTTTTGATCTTTCCTTATCCTGATATAGAAATGGCAGAATTGAGTATGGTGCTACCCCCAATGATAGATACAGTGAGCTTCATCCATATTAGGGCTACAACTAACATTAATAATACTAATGCTTCATCTACTGATTTGACTAACACATGATCACAATTATGTGAACCCATGTGACACCTTCAGATGACTGTTTGTCCTCCTATCGGTCTAAAACCCAAAGATATTTAGTTTACATAAGACAATGAAAAGCATCACATGCTATAGCCGGAACAGGAGAATGCTCGCTTGACATTTTTTATTTGATTATTTGATTTAGTTCATTATTGATATGACTTAGGCGATACATTTTCTGTTCAGCTTCTGATCGATTTAATTATTGATTCAGCTCTAATACATATATCTTCTTCAAAGCCCCTGTGTCTCTTGATCCCCATTGAAGTCACGTTCACTGAAAATGAAGGGCTGATCAACACATATACACCACACATGTCACTGCGAATGTCCAATTATTCTACAAACAAAAACACAATCTATCTACACGAAGGGGTATTGGAACACACTGTAGCTCTTTGTCTTCCAGCATGAATGAATACTGGCATACTGCATTAGACATTATCGTTTAAACAATGCATCTAGCTGTGCCTGAGTCATGAACGTGACGTATAC